AGATCTCTGGAGAGAATTAGCGTCAAACAAGGTATGTCAAGAGGAAGTTGTATGTATGTGTAGGAGAGGAGGGAACTGTGTGCGTAGCGCTTCGCCCTACGGAAAAAAAAAAGTCCGCTATCTAATAGACTACGACTACGCCGAAATCTCGCCGATGCAGGTTTGCGGGCAAAAAGTCCGGATTTCGGCAGAAAGTGCCGGGAAAGGCAGAACTTGCTTTTTTAAAAGTTAGGACGCCCGTATAACTAAGTCTTTTGCTCCTCGTACTGGAAGAGAAAGCGAGTAAGGGAGGGGAAGGGAAAGCAAATGTAGAGAAGAAAGCGATGGTTCGGGAAACGGTGTGTTAGTCCTATAGGGCGAGAAGGTAGGGATGGGGTCGGTGGTTGGCCGTCGCCCTGCAGCTTCTGGAAGAAGGGACCTAGAGGGGAGAAACAGCTGTGGATCTAGCCATTAAAACTTAATAGGACGGGGACGGTTGGTGCTGGTGGAATCGTTGGTTGATTGATTGATTGATTGATTGGGGCAGAAGGCTATGCTGCAAAGGAATAACGAAAAGAAGAAAAAAACCCCACCAACCACCACCTAATCTGAAGACTTCTGTTGTGTGTTTGTGCGCGTGTATGCGAGTCTCTTTATAGAGGGGTTGTGTAGCAGGCGATTCTAGAGAATCAGGCGAGTCTGAATTTAGTGAGGGCAGCTACATGTAGAAGATTCAAGGCTTGGTCTTCTCCAGATTGGCTTTTTGGGGAAAGGCGGTGCCTAAATCAGGTCGTTGTTTTTTTTTTTTTAAAATTCATTTATTCCTGGAACCTAGTCCCTACAGTTTCTTTGGCAAGATTTTCCGAAGTGGTTTGGAGAGGGAGAGAGAGAAAGAGAGAGCGGCTGGCCCAGGGTCGTCCAGTTGGCCTGGTGCTTAAAGCGGGACTGGAGCTCGCGGCCTCCGGGGTTTCTAGCTTGGCGCTTGCTTGAACAAGCTCCACCAGGCGGGCTTGGAAGCCCCGAAAAGGCGCGGTCAGTGAAGGTCAGCCGGGGGTGGGGGGGAAGGCAGGTGGATTCTGACGGGCGTTTCCAACTGCTTGCCCCGTAAACCCCAGCCAGAACGGCTCAAGGCCGCAGGCAGAGGGAGAGCCTCTTCAGGTGTTAAGGCGTCGGGGGCTCGAACGCCAAAATTCAAATCCCCCCCCCGGCCCCACCACAGACACACAACCGCAGCGCCCATTAGTGATCTCCGCCTGGCAGCCGAGCGATTCCGGTGTGGTGAGGTTTTTAAAACTGAAACCGGGCCTGGCCTGGCCTGGCGCGCACGGTTGAAGAGAAGAGGCGGCCCAGAAATCAACAGGGAAGGGCGGGAACAGAGAGCGCGGGGAGCTTTACTGGAAGCGGCCTTGCGGGACGCCGAGGCTTTCCCTCGCGCGCGGCGCCCCTCGCCTCCTCCGTGAGGAGAAGACGCGGCCGGGCGAGAGAGAGCGGGAAAGAAGCGGCGGGCTCTCGTGCTGGAACTGACGCGCGCGCCGGGCTGAGGCGCGGCACGTGACTGAGCGGGGCGCTCACTTTCCTCTCTCTCCCCCCCCCCTCCTTCCTTCGTCAGGGGAGGAGCGGAGGCTGGCGGGGCGCCTGGTATGAACTTAGAAGGCAGCCGCGGCGGTAGCAGCAGCAGCAGCAGCGGCAGCAGCGTCGAGGGCGGCGGGATGAGCTCGGTGAGCTGCGGCAACGGGAAACTCCGGCAGTGGCTGATCGAGCAGATTGACAGCGCCAAATACCCGGGCCTGATATGGGAGAACGAGGAGAAGAGCATCTTTCGCATCCCTTGGAAGCACGCGGGCAAACAGGACTACAACCGCGAGGAGGACGCCGCGCTCTTCAAGGTAGCGGGAGGGGGGGGGACGCAGAGGGGAGGGGCGGGGAGAGGAGGGGGGGGAGCGCGCGAAGCCGTCAATCAATCGCTCGCAAAAAGCCACCTTACTTGGTAGGGTTGAGAAGCTGGCTGAGGGCGCCGCGGCCACCTGCTTTTAAACAGTGTTTCTCAACCTTGACAATTTTAAGGCATGTGGACTTCAACTCCCAGAATTCCACAGCCAGCAATGCTGGCTGTGGAATTCTGGGAGTTGAAGTCCACATGCCTTAAAATTGTCAAGGTTGAGAAACACTGTTTTAGAAGTTGAGGGCCAGGTCCCTCTGAGGAATAGCGGCCTCACCTTTCTTCTCTCATCTGGTGTGCTTTAGTAGTGCTATCTTGACAGCGACCACGTGCTCTTTATTACAAAGCCCGGTCTTTTCTCCCCCCCCCCTCCCTCCAGAAAGCTGTCCTTTAAGGTTAATTTGATTTAATTGCTTATGATCTCGGTTTTTTTTCTTCTTGATTTCCTCCTCCCCTCCCCCCCCTTTTCATCAAGTTTGCAATTCTGCTGCACAATTCATTTTTTCTCATCTTGAGCAACCTGCTTCAGATTTCTCCCTTTTGCAGGTTTTCCTGCACCCCACCCAAGAAAATATACTCACTGTGTAGCCCAGGGGTAGTCAACCTTGGCTCTTTTATGACTCGTGGACTTCAACTCCCAGAATTCCTGAGCCAGCTTAGCTGGCTCAGGAATTCTGGGAGTTGAAGTCCACGAGTCATAAAAGAGCCAAGGTTGACTACCCCTTGGTTGTACCCCAAGGTTGACTACCCCTGGTTATAGTCATAAAAGAGCCAAGGTAGACTACCCCTGGTTGTAGCCAAGGTAGACTACCCCTGGTTGTTTACCCCCCATTCTGATGGGGGTAAATGGGAGCTATAGTTCAAGGCATGAAGAGGGTATCCGTTTGGGAAGGCTACTTGGAACAATTTGATGAATTGGTCTTCATTCAACAGACTTCATCTGGAAAATGAGATACTTCTCCCCCCCTCCCTTCCTCTCAAATGGGATCTTGTGCATACTGCACCCCAAAAATGAACTTTGTAGAGAAAGAAGAGGTACTCTGATATTGGCCGGAGTTGACAATGCCAGTCAGTTTTACTGATTGCTTTACTTATTAACTCTGTGTGAGAGACAGGGCACCTATAAGATCGGTGGGATTTGCAGCTTTTATCTATTTGGCAGTGGTGGTAAGGTGGAGCTTGCTAATAATGGTGAGATTATCAGAGTTAATACTTGACACCTAGGATTCGTTTCAACCTGCATGTTCCTCACATAGGGACTATAATAAAACATCACATTTTCCAGTGGAGAGGAGTCACATACGTAATGAGGCACACGCATGGGTGTGAATTCAGTGTGCCCAAAGAATGAATCCATTTTTTTTTTGTTTCCACAACAAGATAGAAGCCCCAAGAGGCACACTAACAAATTAAATGACTTATCTGGGATCTGAATCTAGGTTTCTCAACTCTAATTCCAGGCACTATTCACTATTAATTAAATTGTGAGATTAATTTTCCAATATAACAAAACCTTCTCCAAAGCTGTAGGCTTAAAATGGGAACTGTGACGAACTGCATTTATAACCTAGTACACACTAGAACAAGAAAAAAAAAATCTCACCAAATACTAGAATTACCCAACTTTTTAATTTTATTTTAAGGCAATTCTTGCTATTACTTCAAGCAAAAAGTCATGGAAATCACAAGAAAAAGATAGATTAAGATTTGCAATAGATCCAAAAGGCTTTTTGAGTTTCAGGTGCTTTATAGCACTTCCATCATCCTCAACATCGGGGTGCTTTAATGAATAACGCTTGAGGGAAGGGGAATAGAAATGGGTTTTTGTATGAATGTGGCATGAGCTCAGTTTTGCTGCTAAAAACAAATTCCTCCATTGCAATGCACTTAGAACTGCCTTGCTCCTTAATCCTCTGTGGGCATCCACCCTTATTTCTGAGCTGCTGTTTTGCATATAGTTCCAGTTGGTAGATCTCACCCTTAACTTAAATTACTGACAATACTATCCTATTTTCTTTCTTCAACTTACATCCTAGATGTTGCTGAACTAAAATGCTTTTCTGTCACACTTGGCAGATTCCTACCATGCTGTATAATTTCTTTTTTTCTCATTTGATTAATTGCCCCAAGGCTTAATTCATTAGGTCTGCAAGCCTGATCACAGTTGCATATACTTTAATCCCATAGATATCAATTGGACTTGTGTATAATTTTGAATAGGATTGCAGACTTTTTCATTAACTTCAGCAAGCGCCATAACTGTTTAGTAAGAATTTATTTCTAAAACTCCCTTGTTTATATTGTTATTGAGGAGTATTACCTGAAGCAATGCTGTTAAATTTCTGCTAAAATGAGTTCAGCTAATTACTTTTAATAGTAAGTTGTTTTTTTTAAAGCAACTCTATACCCTACTGGTAGAATTCATATGGCACAATCTTTCTCCTTAGTTATTCAACCATCACATTTAACATTAGTGCACTTGCTTATTGAGTACACATTGTTTTCTTTCTATTATAGTTTTTGCTTTCTGCTATCTGGATTTAAGGTTGGTTTAGATGTTACGCAACTTATAGAAGATGCAGTAAGGTTTCTGTGCTTGCTTTGGTTGCCATATCTCTGCAAAGAAAACTTGAAGTGAAATGATGAAGAATGGGTCACAAATATTCAGTTTTTGAAAAATGTCACACCATCTAGTTCATATAGAAGCGAAATGGATATAATGAATCTTGAAACTGTGTCTAATTACCTTACTGCTGAATCTGCTCAAGGGTTGTCCTACACTGACAATGAGATCCTAGACACAACTACCCGTAGGAAAATATGAGTCCCATAGCATGCCCCATGATAGTTCTGTGGAAATTGATTATATGGAATGTATTTATTAGTGTGATATTTATATTATTGTTGTTAATGCCTTAGGCTGTTCTGGAGGATCCATAGTTTGATTAACTTCTGCAAATATTTACAGGCTTGGGCTCTATTCAAAGGGAAATTCAGAGAAGGCATTGATAAACCAGATCCTCCCACTTGGAAGACAAGGCTGCGTTGTGCTTTGAACAAGAGCAATGATTTTGAAGAACTGGTGGAAAGAAGCCAACTAGACATATCAGACCCATATAAAGTATATAGAATAATACCGGAAGGAGCAAAAAAAGGTAGGGCTGCGCCTTAAACTGAGCTTTGAAAGCATCTGGCAATCACTGTTTATCCCTCATTGGGGATTTGAATATGATACTCCTCACTGGTTAATAGCCTAGAGCTACAAAGAAGATGTTGATAATCTAGAAAGAGCGTAGAGAAGACCAACAAAGGGACTAGTGCAGTGGTGGCGAACCTATGGCACGGGTGCCAGAGGTGGCACTCGGAGCCCTCTCTGTGGGCACACGTGCCGTTGCCCCAGCCTCGCCTCCCCCCGTGACCCCCTCCTCTCCAGCAGCCCCCCTGAAGGAGAGTCGCCCCCGAGCGTGGCCCACACGGAGCAGCGTAGCTAAGGACATAGCAGCCAGTCAGCGTAGACAAGACTCTGCCCTTACACCCCATCATGCACAGTTGATGCTGCAGGGCGGGGACAGAGGGTGTGGCTGCCCTAGTGCTGTTGGGCTGCCTGGGCGATCTGCGGCGGGCCTTGGAGGCGGTGAGTGGTCCTGCAGGCAGGCGAGGCGGGGGATGGGGGAGCGGGGCAGGGGGGGTGGAATGGGGACGGGGCCAGTTTTTGGGCACTCGGTCTCTAAAAGGTTCGCCATCACTGGACTAGCGGATAAAACATACAATAAACCATTACAGGAACTGGGTATATGTAGTCTAAGGAACAGAAGGATTAGAGGTGACTTGATAGCAATCTTCCAATATTTGAGGGGCTGTCAGAGGAGAAAGGGTTGACCTATTGTCCATTCCCTGAGGGCAGGACACGAAGTTAATGATGGAAACTAATCAAGGAGAGAAGCAACCTAGAACTAAGGAGAAATTTCCTGACAGCGAGAACAATTAATCAATGGAACAACCTGCCTCCAGAAGTTGTGGGTGCTCCAACACTGGAGGTTTTTAAGAGGAGACTGAGCAGCCATTTGTCTGGAATGGTACAGGGTCTCCTGCTTGAGCAGAGGGAGGGGGTTTGGACAAGAAGGCCTTTAAAACCCCTTCCAACTCTGTTATACTGTTAATACCTGTTTTTTCCCTTTCAAACGTGGAGTCTTATTCCTCTCCCATACGAGCACCAGCTTTTCCTCTCTCCCCATAACAATAATTTCTATGCCACTATACAATGCTCCGCCACTATTTCCCCCACCCCTGCATTTCATCACCTTGTGCCAGCCAGATATCCAATAGTCCAAAAAAGCAAGAGTCACCCAACACATTTCCCACATCCTTGCTTTTCATCTCAACATGGAAGCAGGGTTTGAGAAGAAAGTTACCCAATTCATAGATCAGAGAAAGCACTGTAAAAATATTGCAGTGGAACAGGTGCTCAGCCAATTAACTCTGCTAGTTAATTAACTTAGTTTTCCAAGATGATTGGATGTGATGAGGATATATATATGTGTGTGTGTGTGTATGTATATGTATATTATATGTATATGTATGTATATGTATATTATATGTATATTATATGTATATGTATATGTATACATACACATATACAGATATATATAGATATAGATACACACACACACATTAGGTAGGTAGGTAGGTTTTCTCATTACACACTTTTAGATTTCTGCCTTTTTTCTAACAATACAAATGAACTTTGTATCTATAAAGTGGCCGGAACTATTATTTCTGCTAGAAATTAACAGTAGGGATTTCATTTTTAAATACTCCCAAGATACTATTTTTACAAAGTTATATAAACCACCCTGTTTCTGTCTACAAATAATGTACAGGATCAAAACAACTTAGCCTGGAAGATCCACAGATGATTATGAACAACGCTTTCACTCTAAATTCATCATATTCTGCACTACAGCCTCAGGTATGACCCTTGCATTTATTCTAGTTTTGTATATTGGAGAATGAAAATGTAAAGATGACACATTTGTTTCTTTCTTGTACTACGATAAGAATGAAAACAAATGGCAAAAAATATCCAATATAAACAATCAGATATTTTCAAAGGATTTTATAGGTGTTCTTGTGATAGATTTTGATGAGTATTAGAACTCTTACCATATTTCATTTAATTTCTCCTGTATATTTCAGTATATAACGGAAATATTTTATTTTTGTTTTTAAATAAGAGCACCTAATTTGTGCAGTTGTATTCATTGCATTGTTTAACTGTATCAATACATTCTTCACTGTCAGCAACTTTCACTCTATATATTCAATACATTGTAAGCTTAAAGTCCCCTGTTAGTCCCCTGTTAGTCCCCTGTTAGTCCCTTTCGATGAAACACTGCACATACAGATAGTCCTCGACTTACAACAGTTCATTGAGTGACTGTTCAAAGTTACAGTGGCACTGAAAAAAGTGACTTATGGCTGTTTTTCACAAGACCATTATAGCATCCCCATGGTCATATGAACAAAATTCAGATATGTGGCAACTGATTCATACCTTTATGACAGTGGCAGTGTCCCAGGATCATGTGATCACCTTTTGCGACCTTCTGACAAGCAAAGTCAATAGGGAAGCCACATTCACTTAACAAATGCAGTGATTCACTTAACAACTGCTGTGATTCATGTAACAAATGTGTCAAAAAAGGTAATAAAATGGGGCAGAATTCACTTAACAAATGTCTCACTTAGCAACAAAAATTTTGGGCTCAGTTGTGGTTGTAGGTTGAGGACTACCTGTATGTTGCAAATATATCTACAGAAAACTGGGCCTTCACAGAATCATATAATGAATTTCAGGAATTATTGAGCCTTCACTGTATTAGATATAAAGATATTAACTGGATTCAGTTTCAGTGGTGTGTGTGTGTGTGTATTTAAGCCTGATGGAAGTAAAAGGATAATAATTGAGTTCTCATCCTATTTTATTTACCAGGGAGACGGGTGCCTGTAAATCAGTGGGATTTACTTTTAAAGAGATACCCATAAGTTTGTATATTAATGAGATATATACAGCTTTGTCTCTCCAGAAACTCTTTATTATCTGTAAGCAAGCTCAACACTGTGTTTGTCTGAGCTTTAATTTTACAGATATACCAAAAAGGGAATATAATTAGAAAGCTGAAAATGAATTAGCACTGATTTTTTTTTTTAGTAACTGGCTGCAAATAAGACATGTGATATTTTAATAAAATATACAGGTGCCTAACTACATGGTACCTCATGACCGTAACTGGAGGGAATACGTACCAGACCAGTCCCATCCTGATCTTTCATACCAGTGTACAAGTGTCTCTTTTCCACCTCGTAATCATCACTGGCAAGGCCCATCATGTCAGAATGGTAAGACATTCTCATTGTATTCAATAGAGCTGCAGACTATTTTTATTTACCTTATGAAATGAATAGTGGATGGTTCCTGATTTAGGGTTCCATGTGCATCTAAGCCAAGAAAAGAAAAATTTAAGAAATTGGATTTGTTTACTTCAGCAGAGAGTAGAAATTCAATTCAATCAGAATAGAGCTGGAAGGGACCTTGGAGGTCTTCTAGTCCGACCCCCTGCTCAAGCAGGAGACCCTATACCATTTCAGACAAGTGACTGTCCAATCTTTTCTTAAAAACCTCTAGTGATGAAGCACCCACAACTTCTGATGGCAAGCTGTTCCATTGATTAATTGTCTTCACTGTTAGGAAGTTTCTCCTTAATTCCAGGTTGCTTCTCTCCTTGATTAGTTTCCATCCATTGTTTCTTGTCCTGCCCTCTGGTGCTGTGGAAAATAAGTTGACCCCCTCCTCTCAATGGCAGCCTCTCAAATACTGGATTATTGCTATCTAGTCCTTCTTTTCTCTAGACTAGCCTTACCCAATTCTTGAAATCATTCTTCATATGTTTTTGTCTCCAGGCCCTTAACCATCTTAGTTCCTCTTCTTTGCACTTTTTCCAAAGCCTCAACATCTTTTTTGTAATGTGGTGACCAAAACTGGATGCAGTATTCCAGGTGGGGCCTTACTAAAGCTTTATAAAGGGGTACTAATATTTCACATGATTTTGATTCTATGTCTCTTTATACAACCAAGGATTGTATTAGCTTTTTTGGCTGCTGTTGCACACTGCTGGCTCATATTTAAATGATCGTCCATTAGGACTCCAAGGTCCCTCTCACAATTACTATTTTTGAGCCAGGTTTAATCTAATCTGTACTTGTATCTTTGGTTTTTCCTGCCCAGATGCAAAACCTTGCTTTTCTCCATATTAAATTTCATGTTGTTGGGTAGGGCCCATTATTCAAATCTGTCAAGCACTTTTTGGATCCTGAGCTTGTCTTCTAGTGTGTTGGCTATTCCTGCCAGCTTAATGTCATCTTCTATTTGCTCATCTAAGTCATTTATGAAGATATTGAAGAGTCCTGGGCCTAAGACGGAACCTTGTGGTACTCCATGGATACTTTGGCTTGCATGAAGTTTTCATCTCCACTAAAATGATTGAGCTAATTCTGGCAAGGGCAGGACTTTCTATGTGTCTCACAATTCCTATATTTGCAAGAAGTTGGCATAGTATAAAGAAGAATATTATGATACAGACTAAGGAAAGTGTTTTTATATTGAATTTCAGAGAATTACAAAATTACTTGAATAGTTCAACATTCCTGAAATCTATTAAAAACAGTTAAGTGCAGTTTATACCATGCAGGTAACTAAATGCATAAAACAAATGTTATATTCTCAATAAAGATTGGAGTGCTTTGTTATGCAAATCTAAAATAAAGGAGAAAACAAAGCCGATAAGGAAGAACAGCCAACTTCTGATTACGAATGTATTCAAGGTTTTTAGTTACCATGAGAACAGTTTATTCTTTACCTTCATAAACTTAAAAAGTTACACAAAACTAAATAGACAAAAAATACTGCTTTGTTTCTTTCTTTATGTCTATTCTCCAAATGCTTATTTATGAACAAATCCCATTAATTTTAATGCAATAGAAATAAGCTAGCATTTGGCATAGTGCAACAAAAATTAAGCAGTTCTGAACTGCATGGATTTCAGTGATTGAAAAAATTACTTCTCAATGTTCTGACTGATATTAATGAAACATTATAATTCTTTTGGAATGGATTATACTTAGGCACTTTAAATTCTCCATGTTTGCTGTCTACCTTTACAAATTCTATGATAAGGGATTTATTTATTTATTTATTTATTTATATTTATATCCCGCCCTTCTCCTTACGGACTCAGGGCGGCTAACAACCAGATAAAAATACAAAATATCAAACTACAAATTTAAAACTTAATTAAAAGGCAAATATTAATAGTTGGTCTAATTAAAATTATTTTAAAACCCCTCTAAAAATTTTCCCCTAGGCCAGTCCCGCAAGNGGCAGCCAATGCAGCTCGCGCAGCAGCGGTGTTACATGGGAGCGACGAGTCCCTCCCAACACCGCCCGCGCGGCCGCATTTTGGACTAGCTGGAGTCTCCGGGTGCTCCTCAAGGGGAGCCCCATGTAGAGAGCATTGCAGTAGTCCAGGCGGGAGGTGACAAGGGCATGAGTGACTGTGCGCAGGGCGTCCCGGTCCAAAAAAGGTCGCAACTGGTGTATCAGGCGTACCTGATAGAACGCCCCCCTGGTCACGGCCGCCAACTGGTCATCCAGTGTCAGCCGTGGATCCAGGAGGACACCCAGATTGCGTACCCTAGAGATTTCTTGGGTTCTGGAAGGAAATGATGTTATGATCTGCTTTTATTGTGAGAGAAAATGGACACTTGCAGTCTGAATTTATCATCTAGGGCATCAAAGCATGTTTTTTTTGTCATAAGATAAATCTTCTCTTGTCATTATTGGAACACTAACTTATTATTGTCACTCTGACTTCCCCAAAATGGAGATTCCTTTCATTAAAAGAAGGAATTCCAAGTAGAAAAATGCAGCTGGTTCTCGTTTAGCAACGGCCTTGCTTAGCAGCCATTGACACTTATGAGGGTGATGAAAAGTAACTTTGCCACTAATCCTCGCATATGGAACCTATACGTAATTAAGGCTTTCCGTGAATTTCATTTTAATACATGAAAGGTACAAATGATAATTTAAGGTGAACATCCTGGTGCTCAGCCAACACTAGATAAAAAAAAAATCACTCCAGGGATAGGAAGATATATTTATACTACATACAGGAGCTGACTTCATACAATATGTTAAGCTGTAAAGCCATGTCCAGAATGTGCAAATTCACGTGACATGCTAGGCCACAAAATATGACTAAATGTGGTTATCATGCTTATACAGTGTGTTAAAATGTTTGTGTTCCCACAACATAGGAACCACAAAAGGCCTGATCCCATTTTAGTCTTCTGTGGTATGCTGTATCGTGTAAACTGAGCCAGGATGCCTTTACTTTAAATTTGGCCCACTAATTGCTTGTAGAGTTAGCAAAAGATACATTTGGATAGAATGTAATTCTATAGAACCTTACATTGGCCTTCAGTGTATGGTAGCAAATTTTGGCATATGCATTTAAGGAAGGATTTATTTTAATAAACATAGAGGATGCTAGCTGATTTCATTTAGATTGAAATACTAGGACAGAAGCCCTTGAACTTAAAATAATTTTCATAAAGCAAATCATTGTCTTTTGGAAACAGGTGATAGCTCTAAAGCAGTCCAAAAACCATTACTTGTGATAAAGTAGAGTACGAGAAGACCCGCCCAATTTTGTTATAAATATAATGCTAATGTGAGTTAAAATGTATAAAGTGCCCCTATTTAGTTAGTCTTCCCATTACCCTTAACTCCACAGTTCCTGTGTTCATATTATTGTGTTCAGAGGGGATAAAAGCATTATGATTTACAGAGGTTTCACATAGACAGTTAGTGGGAAGTTCTGTCAGATGATTCACCAAAGAAGCCATGGTTTAATAAAGAAAATGTATCAATCTTAAGAATGAACAGTGGAAAATATTTAAAGGAATGAGAGTATTACATACTGATAATTGTTTCCATTCTAGCAGATGAAAGTTTTGAATGTTATCGGCTGTTCGGTCGGGTTCATTTTGCTTTGTGAAAACTTTTTTTTTTTTTTGTATGAAAGTAGGTTGTCAAGTAACTGGGACTTTTTATGCTTGTGCACCACCTGAGACACAGACTTCTGGCATCCCAATAGAGGGAAATATCAGATCTACTGAAGGTCTTCCCTTGTCAGGTATGTACACCATCACTCTCTAATAAATCACAAGGAACTTGTGATTGAAAAAAATGCTAATAAGGGAATGTTCATCTGCATTTGTTCTTCTGTGTAAAAATACATGTACATTTAACTGAAAAGGAGCCAGTTTGATGTAGTGGTTAAGGCATCAGGCTAGAAACTGGGACAGCATGAGTTCTAGTCTCACCTTATGCAGGAGGCCCAATAAGTGACCATGGGCCAGTCATCACACTCTCTCATCCCTAAGAAAATAGCAATAGCAAACCACTTCCAAAATCTTGCCCAGAAAACTGCAAAGGTTATTCCAGGCAGTTATCAGAGTCAAAAAATGATTCCAAGACAGTTGTCGGGAATCAAAATGATCTTAAAGTCACTCTGCATGCCACATAGAATTAAGAAAGGAATGCATATTACAGAAAATTTGGTCTAGTGCAGGGGTAGGGAACCTTGGCTCTTTTATGACTTGCGGACTTCAACTCCCAGAATTCCTGAGCCAGCCAGGAAATAATACAGGTAGCATAAAAATAAATAAATAAACATTTTGCATCAAAATACAACTATCTGCCTAAAAGTGGCTCTCCAGAAATTTATCTCACCACCTTCTAACTAGGTTAACTAATCCTAACTAGAGATAAGCTAGAGAGATCGCAGACTGAGGAGGAAGGTGTGCTGGATACGTTCGTTGCCTTGAATTATTTGTAAACACAATAAGGATAGGACACAAATAAAATTGGGTGGAAAAGTGAAAATTGTAATTACAGATTAAACTATTTGAGAATTTTATTATACTATGTTGTATTACAAACTAGAAGTATCAGGAATCTTCAAAAGGCGTCCTGGGGTTGATGATCAGAAAGAAGATTTAGTTGGAATATACAGGGCTAAAAGGCCTTTTTCGGAGTGGCACCTGCTTTGTGGAATTCCCTTCCCATTGTAATACTGATCACTTCCTGTCTGTCCTACTTCCCTTCAAGCAGAGGCTAAAAATCTATTGTATACCTCCATTTTTCCCCTTTAGGATTATGGCTTTATGGATGGTGGTTGGATTGCGCTTGTTTGTAGTTTTTTTAAAAAAATATTCTATTATTTGATATTATTATTTGTGCATTTTATGTTGCATTTTATGGATGTAATTATAATTTTGTAATTGTAAGAGTTTACTGCTGATGCTGTCTCATACTGTTAATGGCTACAGGCTGACTTTACTAGGAGCAAGTGGATTGTAAAATGTGAAAAAAAATAAATAAATATCATTTATACAGGATGCATATTAAATTGATTAAAGTTCATAATATTAGAATTAATGTTTTGATTATCTCATTAAATGCAAATGCTGTTCTCTAGATTACCAGAAAGTGAAGATCCCACTTAGGAGATGCAATTTTGCCCAGAACTCTGAGATTATATCATAGTTTTTGAAGCAATTCAACTCATATAATCTCCTTTTGTTTGGCAGCTTCCTAATTCGATTTACAAACAAATCTTTTCTTATTCCCCAGAATATGGTTCATATCTGTTTACACTATTGCCTAACAGGTAAAATTGATATCTACTGAATAGGTCAGTTGGTGAATGAGCAGGAAATTATTTTTCAAGGATTTTAGGCCCTTTACTTTGTAGCCGTATTTAAAACTATGATTATTCTCATACTACACATATTTTCTTTGGCTGCATTTCTTTAAACCATGATAGTGCCAAGTAGTTCTTCATCTGTGCTATAAATGAGCCCATAGCGTGGTTCTTAATAAACCAAGAAATTATACTCCAATATCACACATTATGGTCCATTGACATTACTGAATTTAGCAGTGGTTAGCTTTATTAAATATTGTACAGAATATTTTTAACATGTAGTCAGAGCTTTTTTTTCCTCATAGAATGCCCAGAACGGAGTTCCGGCACCTTTTTTAGATGGAACCCCGTAGGTAGGCAAGGCGGGTTGTATGACGTGTGTGAGTTCCGGCACCTTTTTTTTTTATATAGAAAAAAAGCACTGCATGTAGTTATATACACACATGCAAACATACTTAGTGGATTAACGCTAAGGCAGTATGCTTAACAATGATTTGTTGAGTAAGCCACGGTATGTTGGGTTCACACAATGCATTATGCCAAAATGTTACTTAAATATTACTTAATGCAGTGTTTGAACTCAGTTACTGTTAATCCACTATAATCTCTATCATAGTATATTTGAAGGAGAAATAATTACAATTTCCACATTAAATGTTAACCTGAGATTCAGAATATGGCCTTATGCCTTTTATTTTCTCAAGAGTTCTACTGGATAGAATGGGACCTGTTTCTGATAGGTTTTGCTATAATGTTTATTTAATGTATCAGGAATGGGTGAAAACTTATTGCTCAAGTCCATTATACTGTTAAACTACAGGAAATGCAGCTGTCCATTACCAAAGGTTAAAAATAATTTTGCATACATGTGTTTTCAGATTGTCGATTGCACATCTGTTTGTATTATCATGAAACTCTCGTAAAAGAAGTCACAACTTCAAGTCCTGAGGGCTGTAGGATAACTCATGGTCATAGTTATGAGATCAGCAGCATGGACCAAGTTATGTTCCCTTACCCGGAAGATCATAACCAGAGGAAAACAACTGAAAAATTGCTTTCTCACCTGGAAAGAGGAGTAATACTCTGGATGACCCACGATGGCCTGTATGCCAAGAGACTTTGTCAAAGCCGGATATATTGGGATGGGCCTCTGGCATTCTGTAGCGACAGGCCTAACAAATTGGAAAGAGAACAGCCGTGCAAGCTTTTTGATACTCAGAAATTTTTATCAGGTAATTTTTAAATATAAGTTACCATTGTGTTTGCAATTGAGGCTTCGTCCTTAAAACTGGTTCTTTTGCTATTTTACATATTGACTTCCTATAACCACATATAGAATTTGCAGCTGCTCCATCCTATCAATTTTGAATCCATCCTCTGGGCTTCTGCAATATTTGAAACCCAGCCTTTGTTTACCTGTAAGGTTGCCCTTCCCCCAGCTTCTCTGCTTTGGCAGTAGAGCAGTGGTTCTCAACCTTTTTAATGCCGCGACCCCAACCGGTCGTAAGTCGAGGACTAAACAGGTCGTAAGTCGAGGACTACCCAACCGGTCGTAAGTCGAGGACTTTCTCTGCCCGGGAGCACCGCGCATGCGTGGTTCCACCCCCTGCGCTGGCCGAGGCGTAGCTGGCAAGTGGCAGAGACGGAGCAGGCCGACCACCAGCTGGCCCAGCCCAAGGGAGGTAAGGCACCCGCCGGAAAAGGGGGAAAAAATGGCGGACAAAAAAAATGGCGGACAGCCTTGCTTGGCGACCCCCATGAAATGGTCGATCGACCCCAAATGGGGTCCCGACCCACAGGTTGAGAACCACTGCAGTAGAGAAACACATTTGCATACATACATTCAACATGCGGCAGGGTTTTAAATATTTATTGATTTTCATTTAGATATGTGATATGGTTAGAATTTGGAGATTTGTTTTGAAAACCCAGCTCTGTTGGGGATATGGCAAACCTTACTCTGCTTAAGGTTTATTATGCCCCAGAAATAGATGATTCTAGAATTAACAGAATGTAAGAAAGTAATGCTTTTTCCAGTACATTGTGATGTAGGTAAGAACTTTTAAAATATGTTGTTGCTTTTCATTTTCTAAAACCTGATAAAATATTATATTCAACATGTTGTTCTTTGAGCATAGTCTTTTAATTTAGCTAAAACTTTATTACATGAACACATAGCTACCAAAGAAAAATAATTGTGGTAGGCCTCATTTTCTCCCTTTTCTGTGAAGTTTAATACAGCTGATCTGTTACTACTATAGTATTCTGCATTTTCTCACTATGATTCACATTGTTGGTTATCTTTGCCAAGGTTAATGCATACATGTATAGAGAAAGGAGGATGTACAAAAACTGTTATCTAGGCAGAAGAGTCTGAACCATTTTTTAAGCCCAGAACTATGAGATAATATCTGGAAGTATCTTAAGTAGACACCTCCATAATTCACTGAATTTTAAGGAGGAGGTATAGCCCAATCTGACTTTCAAAATTCTGCTATAACCAGTCTCAATAAAACTAGTTTTAGCCTTCTGTGAAGTTGATTTTCTGCTGTGGTCTACCTTGTAGGGCTGTAAATAGAGCTTTGATTTAAAATTTACTAAACAGAAGAGAAGGAGGTGAGCTAGTTCCCATATTGAATACTGAACCAGATACTGCCAAAACAATACAGCTGAATTAAGGAATACATAGTATTGAAAGCTTTTATCAAAATTACAACAGCAGCATGATGCCACCAGCACACCAGCTCTGTTCCTTTCATACATATGTAATATATAATATTTGGGTCGTAACAGTGGGTTAATGCTTTTGTCATTCACCCCGCTTGCCCTCCATCACCTGCAGATGCCTCTGAGCTGAATGCTGATGAGAATATAACTGCAAACAGAGTTTTTCGATTTGTAGTAACTGAGTTCCAGTATTTTAAGATATAGTTACACTTCTCTTGAAAAAGGAATTCATATTTTAGGCATGTTCCTAAATCCAACTTTGCCACTGGAAGTCCTGTTAAATTTAATGATGGATTGCTAACTGATCAAGGAAAGAAGCAACCTAGAACTAAGGAGAAACTTCCTGACAGTTAGAACAATTAACTGATGGAACAACCTGCCTCCAGAAGTGGTGAATGCTCCAACACTGGAAGTTTTTAAGAAGAGACTGGACAGCCGTTTGTCTGAAATGGTGTAGGGTTCCTGCCTGGGCAGGGGGTTGGACTTGATGACCTCCAAGGTCCCTTCCAACTTTATTATTATTATTATTATTATTATTATTATTATTATTATTATTATTATTATTAGTATCTTGTCTTGATTATTCACGATCTGTTAATTTGAAGTTTATTGTGATGTGTTAGTACTTGTGAACATTTTTCATAAACTTCACCCACTAGTACATAATCTGGCAGCCAAAAATGGGACATATTTGTATTCTAAGTAGTATACTATCTTCTTATTTATTTTTCTTTTCTTTTTTCTTTTTTCTGTTTTTGAAGATGTGAGAAATGTAAAAGTGTTGGGATGGCCTGTATGAGGAAAAAGACTTAAATACTTAAATGTAATTAATTTTGAGAAAAGCTTAACCAGTAGGAATGTTTTAAATATTGTGGGGAAAACAAATTTAAATAAGAATTTTGTAAACAAGATCTATGATGAGGCAATCAAGATGATCAGTTAGAAAAGAAGCTTTATATTGATTTGGTTATTATTTGCAGAAATATTAGAAAAATGTCTATATTTGCCATTTATCCAAATAATAAGAATTGTATTAATTCAAGGTTGGCAAAAGAGAATATTATTGGAAGAGAAGAAAATCAAGCAAAGCTATTATGTGGACTATAGAATTATAGAAACTAATTGTTATTGATTGTTTTTTAAATATAAACCCAGATAACACACTCTTTACCAAATATTAAAGTGATTATGTTAAAAATAAATAAAACATATTTAAAAAAATGTAACTACAATACATAATTCTCAACCAATTACACAGGGTTACCTGTTAGTTCTTGACCTAATTCAAGGATTTCATTCTCTTAAAATTGTACCACATCTGCAGGGTTCTCTCTTCCTCTACAAAATCTATTATGAAAGTTACTGTATTCTTGATGTCTTTGTTATCAGAGTCACAAAGAATTGGCTTCAGATACTTTGCTGAAAATATATGCCTTCATAACCAACTTTGAGCTCTGTCCTTACTGTATAAAAAAAGGCTCTTGGTGTGATTGTTGGATGTCATATATAATATTTTAAATAATGATATTAATTCTAGCTTACCTTTAGCCTAGAACTTTATGCATTACCTTTGGCTATAATAATGATTTTGAAAATGGGAATTTGAAGAATGCAATTGTTTTAATTGTTGCATTCTCTAGGGCAGGGGTAGGCAACCTCGGCTCTTTTATGACTCATGGACTTCAACTCCCAGAATTCCTGAGCCAGCGATGCTGGCTCAGGAATTCTGGGAGTTGAAGTTCATGAGTCATAAAAGAGCCGAGGTTGCCTACCCCTGCTCTAGGGATTCTATTGATTTTGTTTTATCTATCTGTAAGCACTAGAGCAGGAGTGTCAAACTCGCAACGTCATGCGACGTATGATGATTTTTCATGCATTATTCCACCACAGTTCTAAATTTAATCCTTAAGGTATAATATTTCTGTTTGTTTTCTAGAACTGCAAATATTTGCCCACCATGGGCGCCCATTACCTAGATTCCAGATTGTGTTATGTTTTGGAGAAGAGTTTCCTGATCCACAAAGACAGAGAAAGCAAGTTACAGCCCACGTAAGTATATGTGAATTGATTTATGTAATACAGTATATAAATGCTAAAGGCATGACTAATAAGAAAGTAGGGGACTGAGATAAATGCTTGATAAAATTGATTTACAATATTCAAATGCTTGATCAATTGATATGTAGAAGACAAATGATTGGCAGTTTCAGAAATGTTCAGCTCTTCTTATATCACCAGGATAACCTCAAACCAAAGCTACAGAGGTAAATAACTAATATTGCTTGACAATATAATTACAATTTCTCTAATTATACTGCCACGCAATGTACAATCATAATTCCTATGTAATTGACAATTGTATCTTTACTTTTAGTGAATGCTAAACCTTTGAAATTTCAGTTAATAAATCAGCAGCCAAAATCCAACCTCCTTACATGGAAATTATCATATATTCCATGGTCTGTCTGAGCTTGCAGCTAATATACTTACAAATCCAAACTGCACTTCTGGAAATTACCAAATTTAGATTGCTTTATTTTTAACATTTCCCCCTAAAAAGAATTCTGAATAGCTTAATAAATTAATAGTAATGAATAGCTTAATAAAGGCTATATAAAGTTAGAATACTAAAAGTCAATCCTTTTAGAGCAGACATGTCAAACTCACAATGTCATGTGACGTCGCGTGACGTATCGAAGCTTTTTCCCCATTGCCGGCAATGGGGTGGGCGTGGTTTTGTCGTGACACATCCGGCCTGTGGGCCAGCAGTTTGACACCCCTGTTTTACAGCCACCTGACCTTGGTGTTTGTGTGGGGGTGGGGAATTGCAAAGCAGGTTAAATAATTTCACTGTAATTCAGGTGATATCTTAGATGTGCCCTATTGTTAATAGAAATAATAAAAATAGTAAAAAAGGAAACTTGTGTGCAATCCACAACATTGCTTTCTTAACCTTATATATTTTGTCTTCTATATATTGAAATTTGCCAGTACTATATCTATTTGCTGTCATGATAGCAGGTACATTCTCTTTGTTCTGGCAACCTATTTGTATGCATGCTTATGGTGAGATTTTTATGAACTACTATGAGCTATATAATTGATTAAATAAATTTTCAGAACATTATTATTAAAGAGCATTATTACTCCAGCAATCACCATTTAACTCATTGCTTTTTCTGATTTGTTGTTAAGGTTGAACCAGTGTTTGCTAGGCAGCTGTACTATTTTGCACAGCAAAACACCGGACCTTTTCTGAGAGGGTACGATATATCAGAACAGATAACCACTTCAGAAGATTATCATAGATCCATCCACCATTCCTCTGTTCAGGAATAAACACAGGAACACTGAAGTCTGAATTACCTTTTGAGAGGTAAACAGAAGACAAGGAACTTTGGATCACAGCTAAAGGATGTAAATCAGTACGTTGAATTCTCCCAGGAAATCATCACCAGCTGGAAATGGACATGGAATGCATATACTCAATGTAAGAATCTAGAACTCCGAGTGAGAACTCTGCCAAGTTTTTGGAAAGCTGCCCTCTGCTTGTGGGATGAGCTGTAAAAAAAAAGAAAAAGACAAAATACCTGATATGTTTACATGTTCTTAAATAAGGACAGTGTCTTGGAGACAACCTGAAATTATTTCAAGCCACTTGTTATTTATTTGATTTGAAATCTCAGGGCAAGAAATTCTAAACCTAAGCAACCATTTGCTATGGTATAAGGCCATAAGAATGCATGTTAGTGGGATAAATATGTTATTTTTTTAAAGTTTCAAATAATCAAAATGTTGAATGCTGTGTTTGTGCGTGCGTGTGTGTGTGTGTGTGTAGAAAATATAATTACAGGTGGGGTTTTTTTCATGAATTTTTAAAAAAGCTCTTTTTGTTGCTGCTGTTTCCGAAATGGGCATGAATACTAATTCTGTGGAATCAATCAGAAATCTTCCCATGATAAAACATTATATCATTGTCCAATATGTACATCATTATATCATTTAATTTGTATTAAATTCGATGGGCTATGTTTATTCATAACAACTATTATGCTGAGACTTTATTCCTATACAGACCAGACCTTGCCTGAGAGTGATTTTTTTTCAGATGGGCTTAACTTTGCGTCCCATAATGCTGTAGAGATCATGGAACTGACATTATTATCCATCTAGAAATCTTCAGGCTGAAGAAATGAACTGATTAGAGAAGGAGACCAATTCAGTGCATTGAGGCTTATACTGGAATATTTAAGAATGCACAAGTAAGGAGTGAATGTGTAAAAATTGAGAGCCAGCTTGGTCTAGTGCAGGGGTCTTCAAACTTGGCCCTTTTATGACTTGTGGACTTCAACTCCCAAAATTTCTCAGTCAGGCATGCTGGCTAAGGAATTCTGGGCGTTGAAGTCCACAAGTCATAAAAGGGCCAAGTTTGAAGACCCCTGTTCTAGTGGTTAAGGCACTAAGCTAGAAACTGGGAGACCACGAGTTCTGGTTCCACCTTAGGCATGAAAACCGGTTGGGTGACTTTGGGCCAGTCACTCTCTCTCAGCCCAATCCACCTCACAGTGTTGTTGTTGTAGGGAAGAATAGGAGGAGGAAGATGTGTTGGCTATGTTCGCCACCTTAAATTAGGTATAAAAATAATAATGGCAGGATAAAAATACACATTTTTTTAAAAAAAAAAAGTTAAATTGAGACTGGGAGTGCATATCGTGGTATGTTTTGCTTAACTGTAGTTTATGGAGAAAACCACGTTTTCCATCCATTATGCTTCATGGCTACAATGGTTTCCTGCCATATGCCAAACCACAACAAACCACCCCATGATGACTTAGGATATTTTCTGAACAAGTGTGATGAGCTAATTTCAACCTATTATAGGAGAGTTTAATCTGAATAGTCAAACAGTGTTTGGACATAGTTATCTTTATTTCGGAGGGTTAATGTGGACAGATGTAAATAGTAATTGTGGACCACTGGAGTATTGTTCCAAATAGTGTACTGTATAGAACAGTGATGGCGAACCTATGGCACGGGTGCCAGAGGCGGCACTCAGAGCCCTCTCTGTGGGCACGCGCACCGTCGCCCCAGTCCTAAGCCTTCAGCTGGGTTTTATAAAACCTTTTTGCTTTAGGCCTCTGCTGCCGTGTACAAAAAAAAAAAGGTTAAATCAATCAGTCAATTTCAATTTCTTGCGGGGGAAAAAAAAGTTCTTGCAAAGTTGGAATTGATTGATCGAACTTTTTAGGCCCACCCAGTCTGCTGTTACCACTGCAGCCACGCCCACCCAATGGGCCACACCCACCCAATGGGCCACGCCCACCCAATGGGCCACACCAAGCCAATGGGATACACCCACCCGGCACCCGACGATGCATAAGTGGGTTTTGGGTTGCAGTTTGGGCACTCGGTCTCTAAAAGGTTTGCCATCACTGGTATAGAAGGATAGATGAAACTTATTTTCTAGTTAAAAATAAGAAAGGGGACTTTAATTTTTTTGAGGTACATATTCAGCAGCTTTCTTAAATCTGTTGTGTTCAGTTGATTTAGACTAGACTTCTTATCGTCCCTTGCCAGGGAAAACTGAGGTTACAGTTTGAAATAGCAAAGAGAACTTTTGGATCAAGGAAGAACACTCAATGTGATCTCATTCTCTTAAAAATAGTGGCAGGTATTTCAGTGTCTATTACTGAAAGATTTCCATCTTTTAATTAAAAATATACTGAACTTGAATATTTAATCAGGGACGTATTGTATATATTGTTAGTCAGTTGGCGTTAGATTCCTGTATTTATACATCTTAAAGATGCATGATGTCTTGGGATATAATATCCACTTCCTTCTTCTCCCAGAAAATTCCTTATTATATGATACATTTTTCCAGGATATAGTTAGTTACAGTCCTTAGCACATATTGGGAGTAAACAAATTGAATTCAATGGAAGTTATATCTCAATAAACATAGATAGGTTGCACTATTAAATCTCTTTAAGCTTGAAAAATGATAATAACTCCACATAGCTCTTTGAATCTTTTCATGATGGTTTGTTTGTTAGTTTCTCTGATATGTCAATATACATTATTAACCCATTTAGGCTACAAACCTGATTTCTATGTGTATATATACACGAGGTATTTCTTGTACTTGTGACTCTTAGTTTCTTTTATTGGCTACTTCATGTAATTATATATCAGAATGAAGCTCAGACTGTTTATAGTTTCAGGGGTTTATCACCCTTTGTATTATATGTAAGAGAGACTTATGTGACTAGAACATTGACCTAAAATAATAAAAAAAAATGGAAGACTTTTCTATTGATTTCAGTGCAACCTATTACTGAGCCATGCTTTCTTGAGAAAATTGTTGATGGGCATATATCGGCTTCGTAGACTTGCACACCATTGGAGAAAGTGCTTCAGGATTCACACAAGCACAGGACGCCTCTGTTGTCCATTGAAGTACACATAATTTTTTTACGATATTGTGGAGCTGCCATCCTCGGGCTGGAAAAATTCAGACTAGATGGCCACAAAGAAAGAAAGAAAACTCTAGCTCTGTGCTGCTTTGTAATCATCATCCAGATTTTTCCAGCCACAGATAAGGAAATCTTAAGTGTGAAATCCATCAATCAAAATAGAGTTGGAAGGGGCCTTGGAGGTCTTCTAGTCCAACCCCCTGTTCAAGCAGGAGACCCTATACCAGGGGTAGGCAACCTTGGCTCTTTTATGACTCATGGACTTCAACTCCCAGAATTCCTGAGCCAGCCTGCCCTATACCATTTCAGACAGGTGGCTGTCCAGTTTTTTCTTGAAAACCTCCAGTGATGAAGCACTTACAAATTCTGAATGCAAAAGCTGTTCTACTGGTTAATTGTCCTCACTGATAGGAAGTTTCTCCTTAATTCCAGGTTGCTTCTCTCCTTGGATTAGTTTCCATCATTTCGTGTCTTACGTTCTGGTGCTTTGGAAAATAATTTGACCCCCTCTTCTTTGTGGCAGCCCCTCAAATACTGAAATACTGCTATCATGTAGTCCTTCCTTCTCTAGACTAGCCATACCCAATTCCCGTTCATCATGTTTTTGTCTCCAGGCCTTTAATCATCTTAGTTGCTCTTCTTTGCACAAATCAAATGGTGCTTTAATGAATCAAATTGTTAAAGCTTCGTGTCTTTAATATGAGTCTTAGAGCAGCCACATTTTTTTTAGGTATGTGCAAAAGCCTAAACAAAAAAAAACTTGGTATGTGCTTTTATGAATAGAAGTGCTGTATTCATGTGAGGCCTGTAGCACTTTTCCAAATCACAACCCAGTTACACATACACAGAACCTGTTATTTCATGCAGCAATGTTCAGTTGTTTTAATTAATTTTTACTTTAATTATTAAGTTGCATGCTCAAGGGATGTAAATCAGGAAGAAGCTTTTAAATCTGCTTGTTTCCACAAATAAGGAAATAGTCATGCTTCAAAAAATGTTAAAAAATGTTTTTAGGATTGCCAAAATACTTTGAATTGCTCTTCCATTTTTAAATAAAAAAAATTTAAAAATGCATTTTTAGCCAGAAAAGCCATCTTATGAATAGAGTTGGTAACTGTAGTGATCTTACTAGCTATTTCCAAATATTGCAAATTCAAAATGAAGCACTTTTCCAAGTGGAAAACTAGATATACATACTTCTTGATTTTTTAAGTGCAAAGGAGTCTTGAAAGTATGATTACCCCCCACAGACACACAACTAGCTATTTTTTCCTCCTGCTAGCCTATTTTTGCTGGTTCCCTCCCCCTCCCCCCCAAAGTCTTTTTGCTTGAATGAGAGTAACTCATACCTAGTATTTTGCAAAAAGAAAACTGGGAGAAAATGGATTTTGGAAGGAAAATGCATCAAGGCCACTGTAGTTTGGGAAAGCTTTGATCTCCCGAGGAATTTATTTTAAGCTGTACGATGACCTGCAATTTCTAATATTAAACGATACAAAGTATTTCAAAAAGTGAATGTGAAGATCTCTAAGAATATCTTCATTGCTTTAGCCATGTGATGATGGATTTCTCTCTAAGCATGCAGTAATAATATGCCAGCTTTTAAAAGGGCTCTGTCCCTTCAGTCAGCTTATGCAAAGGCCAGCACTCAGGAAGATAAACAATGCTGTGTTAGTATACTAGGGACAATACAGTCATTTATGCACTACTGTATATAGGAGAAAACTCAGGGTCACTGGTTCTGCTCAACTTCAGTTCTACGGCCTCATTCCCAATCTTTGAGAAAGTCTAACTGTACTGAATGAATTCATCTTAGCAATGCCATTTAATTAACATGCTGAATATGGCCTGCTCTGTCTGACA